TTTGGTTAACAATGTATGTTTCAATCTTAACACTGCACACACGCACACACACACAGATGTTCCATGATCAGAAAAGAAAATATGGATAAATAAGGGAGAAACATGAGATAGTTTTGGGTGTCTTAGAAGTTTGTAGAAAAGAAAATTTGTAGATGCGTGAGCCCAACATTAGTGAATAATGCAAAACATAGGATTTCTATTCTTGATGTAGCTTTTAATTGTGATAGAATTTGATGCCAGCTGGGCAGTCTTAGAAGTTTTGGGTGTCTTCCTTCTCTAACAATTACTATGGAAGTCCTATAAGATCTTAGTAATCTGCAGTTCATTTATGCTTGTCAAAAATAGCTATTGTGTCAACGAATCTTTGAAATGAGTAAATCTTGAGTAAACTATCTAAAGTTTTGTATAAATTCTCTGATCTAAGTAAACTATACTGGCATGGTGTTGCTTCTCGTAAACACTTGGAATTTATTACGTTACACCAAATGTTGGTTTTTACTAGGTTGTATCTCAAACTTTATGCACTTCCATTACGTTACACCAAATGTTGGTTTTTACTAGGTTGTATCTCAAACTTTATGCACTTCCCATACCTTTCTCTTCTTAGTTCTTTCATTTGACCCTTAAACTTTATGCACTTCCCATACCTTTCTCTTCTTAGTTCTTTCATTTGACCCTTCTTTGCTTGTTGTAGAGCAGCTACTCCAATTCTCTGTTTGTATTCCTGCAATGTTTTTTGCATTATGTTCTCTATCTTTGAATTTATTTTACTTTCTTGCAATAAACAAAATGGTTTTTTTGCTCTTTTCTGATAGTATCAAGCACATACCACATATAGCAAGGTTTTGTTCTATCATATGTACTTCTGATCTAATTTTCATATCTTGGTATTATTATCAGCCACCATTAATTTCTACTCAAGAAAGTTCATTACAATCTTTATATATGCCCCAATTTTCGAAATGTTTTTGATTTGTTGATATGATACTGTTTCGATTCACTTAGGTAATCTGGTTCCACTCTGGTTCTTCCCACCTACATATTCAAATATATCAGATTTTAATTGAATTTGAGTTTATAATGCCATGAATTAATGGAACACCATGAGTGATTTGAGTTTATAATGCCATACTTTCTAGGATTATAATTGAATTCTGACCAATTTAACTTAATTCCAGGAATTAATGGTGTCATGTGTGACTTAAGGAAAAAGTTAAAAAGCTCCTGCATTTTGTTACTCGTGATCCTTCTGTGGTTTGAGCACGAAAACAATAGGACTAGGAAGTGGTGATGTTGTACTGGACATAAAGACTGTAAGCAAGGTCAAGCATTTGGTGAGATAACTGCTACTGGTTGATCCCTTAGCTTGACATTAGTTTTATTTGAAGAAAAATTTGAGCATTCTGTCCTTTCAGATGTTGCTGGAAATGGACTGATCTTTATCCAGGCATAATATGGAAAATTAAGTCAGAGCTTGCTTCTATCATTCACCATCTTCTCAGAACTCAAGCAAGTACAAACATTTATATTAGATATTCCAAATGGATAAATGTGGTCCAAGTATTGACTCATTGCAATCATAAAACAAGATTATTTTTCCTAGTACCTTGAAATGATATCATTTTTATACTGTTTCATTAACTTTACATTCTAGACTTTGTATGCTGCTTATGTTGGTACTTGGTAGCTTGGTGTAGAACTACAGTCGCATTCTGGCGACTTTTTTATTTTTGTTTATGGTGCCATATGAATCTCACCAGTTAGATGTTATTCTTTTTGAGGGAAAAGTATGTATATTGTATTTGACATATTGTGCAAAGCTCTATTTATAATTACAGCAGTGATGGAAGCTTTCATAGCTTTGTGTCATTGTTGCGCATTATGTCTTGCAACTAGCTGTTCACTGTGCTAGTGTTGAAGGCATTTTCTCTTTCCTAATAATATTAGCCATCCAGAATTCTCTTTTTTCTTCTAATGTACTTTAGCTTATAAACGTCACAGATTGCAGATGTATGTTCGCTGTGTAGCTTATTTCTCTTGGATGTTATTTGCTTCTCCTAAAGGTCATATTGTGTTTGTTTAAACATTTATAAAATCCACATTGATGTTTATCATCAAATTGCATGTTTTTTTTCTAATTTTCTATGTCTTATTGCTTATATAACAGATCAAGTTCTAATTTACACTCTCTTTGCCCTAGATGTGCTTGAAGGAGAAATATTTCTGCAGAAATTGCCCAGTATAGTTGCTACTCGTGTTCTAGGTATTAACTCAACAATATTTTACTTTTTGCCTTTGTTCAATACCATGTCATTTGGTTTCATATTTACATGCGTTGTACATGGATGCTACAAACTATTTTCTGTAGGCTTTCGAGTCCCATGAGGAAACCTCTTTTTTGGTGGTTCAGCTTCTGTGGAATCAGGTTCTTTGAAGGTGTTTTTGAGCCTTTTAGATGGTTCCTGGGCATTAGTCATCTATTTTTTTTACTCTTTTGGGTTGCCTTTTCTGCTTGGGCTTATCTTCACCCCTATAATCATCATCATTAAGGTCTTCACCCATCTGAGAGTTGTTTAAGGTCTCAACATCCCGATTTTCTGCTTCAGCTTGTTCTTCATCATGCCAGGGCTGTACTTGATTAGCCACACACACAGACACACACACACACACACACACACACACATACACACACAGATGTTCCATGATCAGAAAAGAAAATATGGATAAATAAGGGAGAAACATGAGATAGTTTTATCAAAAGAGTCTTACATCTCCATCCAATGTATCAATGGCTTCAAACTCTGGCGATCCAGTAGGATAAAGGTCATCTCCTTCATTTTCGATGTAAGTTTTAGTATATAAACGGAATTTTGTGCAGGCAATGTATACAGGCTGTAGTTTCCGATGTAAGTTGATTTTGGCTCCTTGTAGGTCGCTAGTTGATTCTTTTTCATGACTTAGGGGGGAACATTCCTATAGATCTTATTACTACAATAACATTCCTATAGATCTTTTTAATGACTAAGGGGAGGTTCTGCATAGATAGCCTCTCAAAATGACAAATAAGGTTTCTAGGAGTTTTCTCTGTAGTCTTATACAAGCTTACGAGCACGATACTTCTCTGTTTCCGCATAGAGCCAAGATCAGGTCCAAGTTCATCATAGCTTTTTACAACTTTCCAAGGATGCACTTCCCAGAAGCAGAAATCATATCGTTTTAAATTTCTTAAAGGTTGCAATTCCCAAAGGTTGAAATCAAGAGAGCCCTCATCTAACAGCATGGAATCAGGACCAGGTGTTTTACCATAGTTTACACTAGCATCCCTGTGAGATGTGCTTAAAGCCCTTTCTTGCTGAAAATTTGTGTATATGTTGTAAAATCCTCGAGAATGGATGAATTTGATAAACCAAGGTGTCCATATCCTATCTCCCATCTTCTTATACCATCCTGTGGTAACCTGCATATATTATAAGTTGGTTTACAGTTAAGAGAATTTCTGTGATATGCATTTCTGGAGATGTAATTAAAAGTTCCATGTACCTGATTATCAGTAGCCCTACCAGAAAAAGATACAATTATTAGCAAGAATAGCAGAAAAAATTTCTTTGAGACTCATATAAACATGGTAATGATTCAAATAGATGAATGTTACATTCTTTTGCATTTTGACCATTCTAATTGTCTGATAATAAATAGTGAGAAGATGTACCGTAACAAAACGCCTACCGTTCAGAGTTCTACTTCTGGTAAGTAGTGCATATTTCTCTTATAATTCATGATTCATTCACTTGGTTGATTAGAATATTATTATCAATTTAATGTTTATGTAACAACAGGTAATGCACCAAGTAATCAATCACATACAGAATTATTGAAAAAGAAACGTTCTCATGCAGCAACTAGTTATCTGCCATACGTGAATTCTATAGGGAATGGATCCGGTTCTAATCCGAGTAAATATGCAATCTTTATTTTACTGTTAGAATATTTAAGTACTGTTAGTTTTTACTTATCTAACAAGTGTGTGTGCTAATAGGTACAAAACGTACTCGTCTGCAAACTTCCAGTCAAGAATGCCAAAATTCTGTAGTAGATGGACTGAATTCTAGTAGTACTGTTGTCACCACAGAACGAACTACTACTGGTAAGTGGTGTTGAATTGAGCTGAATTTAGTTGAATTGAGCTGAATTCAGTTGAATTGAGCTGAATTCAGTTGAATTGAGCAAAATTGAATTATTTTCCTCTAAAAGGTGTAGAGAAGCTGAATTGAATTTCATTTTCATCAAATGCAAATTACAAGGGTATACCTAAACTACAAACTCGAATGACAGGGATTAGGGTTAGTGCACGTCTTCAGCAACAAAGTGTTAATGATCAGCCAGTAGTAAACACCATAGTTGAAGAGCGAGATGATAATGTGATGTCAGATATTAATCAGGAGCCTCCTTCAGGTATACAAAATATTATATACAAATATTTTAAGAATGAAATATAAGTATGTGTTATGTTCTTAATAAAAATTATGTCAAAGGTACAACCAAAAAGGTGCGAGGGAAGACAAGAGGAGTGAATGCAGATAAGGTGTTCTCCCAATTGAATTCTAAAATACCTGTGACTCTGACTGAAGAAAATGGCAGACCTACTGGCCCTTATGCTGAGATGTTTCCAAATGAATTTGGTTACACAATTCGAAACTACGCCCCACTGAATGTGGAAAAATGGAAGAAGATTGAAAAAGCAGATGTGGAGAACTTGATCAAAAGAATGCAGGTTAGTGATGATTTGTTTTGCTAAAGGCATTATATTGGTTGCTTTGATTTGTTATATTTAGTTTGACATGAAATTATGCCTGTGCAGAATAAATTTGAATTTGATATGTCGCTCCCTTGGGTCCAAAGATATATAATTACAACATGTCAGACCGTATATTGTAATTTTCATTATAAGTTAAAGAAACATTTTGAGCAGTTTTCAACAATTGAGGATGCAGTTCATAACAAACATGAAGCTGTCAAGACTTAGGAAGAATGAGAGTTTCTTTGCACTCATTTTTCTAGTGAAAAGTTTAAGGTACAATATCTTTTTTATTTTTCTCCACGCATTACATTTTTTCTTTTTTCATTTACTTCTTTCTAATTGTATGTCTTAATAATTTTAGATTCGCTCAGAGAAGAATGTTCTTAATAGGTCAAAGTTGACATATCATCACAAAGCTGGGTCAAAATCATTTATGTCACACCAAGAGCAAATTGTAAGACACTTTTTAGTTTTGCTTATAAATTTATAACTTAATTGTGTACATATATATGCTAAAAATGAAAACATGTTTGAATGCAATAGGCAACACAGACTGGAGAGATGCAAGGTGCAATTGATCATTTTGAAACAGAGTATAGAAGTACAAAAAAAGGATGGGACTTGGGAGCAAAGGAAAAATGGGTAAGTAACGTGTTAATGATGCATGCTTTTATAATATTTTAAGAATATAGGTGAAATTGATATTACTGTTCTAAAGAGGATTATATTGATTAGGTTGTAATTAAGAAGTTGCATATGATTGAACTGGGTATATTTTTTTTTACTTATAGGATCAAATGATAAAGATGCAAGCAGATACCACTCAACCTGATGGAACTCGAACAATGACAGATGAGGAAATTTATGCAAAAGTTCTCAAAGTCAAATCAGGCTACATTAAGGGCTGTGGTTTTGGCCCTAGACCACCACCATTAAGGTTCTCTCGTTCTTCAATAAGTGAAATGTCTGAAAAGAATAAAGAGTTGTAAGAACAGCTTCAAGAGACCCAACAACTTGTAGGAACTCAACAACAGAAGATCGATGCGCAAAATGAGGTAATCCAAAGATTGGAGGAGCAAGCCAAAAAGTTTGAGGAGTTTATGGCTAATTTTTCGAGGCAACATCCATCGGCTTAGCTTTCTTAGTGAACTTAAACTTGGAGAAATGTTTTTTTGATCGTGTTGCATTTGTTTTTGCTTTAGACTAGCATTGTTACTTATGGTAGTACCTTTCTTGCTTTATTTATTTTAATTGTTTTGATGTACTGTGGTGACAATTGATGATAATTAGTTATATTTTGTGTTTTTCTCGTAATAGCATTATTATTGATGAAATAAAATTTCCTCATTATAAGTTTTCTCGCTATATATTTAGGTCGATGAAAGTAAATTTCCTCGAAATAGACCCTACAACTTAAGGTGACGAAAATATGTTTCGTCGCAATAGGCCACATACATATGTCATCAAAAGAATATTTCCTCGTTATAGAGTATACTGCTTACGTCGACAAAAGCATATTTCCTCGCTATAGTGATACAACCTATAACGGCGAAAGTAATTTTCCTTGTTATAGACCATATAACATATATCGACAAATGTAAATTTCCTCGTAATTGAATTTCTTTGGCGAGGAATATGAGGTACAACCTACAACGACAAATTTAAATTTCCTCATCTTTGAGTCCCTTTACTGAGGAACTGTTTCCACGAGAAAAAGATACATATAATAAAGAAAACCAATTTCCTCGTTAATGATTTACCTTTGGTGAGGAACAATTTCCTCGTTGAAAGGTACTTACAACGGCGAAAATAGTTTTTTTAGAACTTTTATTATATATAAATTAAATATTATTCACATATCATTGGCGAGGAAATGAAAAAGGTATGAGATTAGGTGAGGAAAAATATCGAGGCTAAAGAGTAACAACGAGAAAAGAATATATTCATCGAAAAAAGGATTTCGTGAGAAATTATAATATTCCTCGCAGAAACTTTTCTTGACCACCCTACCGCGAGGAAATGGTGACCAAAGTTTTTTCCTCGCGAGCACACTACGACGAGGAACGACTTTCAACGACAAACTTGTTCCTCGCGGATTAGCATTTCTGTTGTAGTGGCTCGTGCACGGGAATCATTTGCAAAAATATGTTTTTCTTTTAAATTGTTTTGCAAATGAGAAACTCTCTTTAAATCAAAACAAAACTTGGTCAAATGACCAAATCTACCACAATGATCACACTTAAACTTTTGTGATCTTTTAAAATCATTTGGCAAAAGTGAAGTCTTTTTCAAATCATAGTAAAATTTTGCCAAATGGCCAAAACGTCCACAAAGATCACATTTAAACACATTAGCATGTTTATGATGTGCATGATAAGCATATGCATGTGTATGTGATGAAGAAGCTACATGAGATGCACAATGAGCATTAGCATTGTTATGTTTGTGTGCATCATAGCCAAATCTAGCAAGATGGCCTTTACGACCGCAAATTGTGCATTTGTAGACTTTTCTATATATGTGTGCATGATGAGTGGATGATTTTGACTTAGACTTGACACATATATTCACAAGCTTCTTATGGTTGTTAATGCATGTATTAAGAGTTGAATCTAAAGAAGAAATATGGTTTTTAACATTGTTCAACTCATCATTAAGCATATTAGCATTAACTTTAGAAGTAGAACATAAATAATTATTTATAAAAGAAGTAGCATCATTTTTTATGTTCTCTACTTCTAACATGGCATTATCTTTTTCATGAGTTAAACTAGCAACATTTGAAGTTAAAGAAACATGATCCAATTTTAATTTTTTATTGTTTTTTTTAAGGATCACATTTTTATTAGAAATAGTTTCAAACTTAGATGCTAACAACTCATGATCGGATTTCAAATCTTCATGCTTGCTTTATAAATCAATAAAATCTTTATGCAATTTGTTATAGGCATGCAATAATTTTTTACTAGCACAAGCAAGTTCATCACTAGATAAATCATTAGTAGTTTCGAACTCGCAAACCTCACTAGGGCTATCGCCTAGTAGCCGTGTGCATGATGCTCCATATGAGCTTGAAGCCGGATCCTCCAAAGCTTGTCGGATCACCTCCAAGTCCTCTTGATGTGCTTCAATAAATTTCCATAAGGTGTAAGCACTATCAAAATGAACAAAATTGTTAGACAAAGATGAATCAAATGCATTATGTAAGAATTCCAACAAGAGCTTGTTCATATAAATAATCTTTTATCATTTTTATTCCACTTGGATTTCTCCAATGTGGGCACAATATAAGCAAAATCAAAACTAACACAAGGGTGAAATAAACATAAACAAGATAATGGATGAAATAAATGAGCAATGCACAATTGACAATATAAGATAAATGCAAAAGAAAATGCGCCAATGACAAACTCAAACACACTCAAATGATCACGGAGTTTGGACCTTCCATCCTACGTCATTGCTCCCCACTCCCGGGAAGAAATCCACTATCACAACCGGGTTTTCTACGCTCACCCGAATAACGTTTACAATTTAGGAGCAATACTAGAATCATAGCCTAAACAAGATGCATCATTCATATCCATAATTTGTAAAAAATGCAAGCAAGATATAAATATAATCAAAACAAGATTAGCACAAAAAGGTAACTTGGATCTTTAACTCAAGGCGATTAGACCTTAAATCAAAGAGCACCAAGCTCTGATACCAACTCACCCGAATAACGTTTACACCTCACAATGTCGGTTTTCAACGTTCACCGATCAACGTTCACAATCACTTCAAAATGTCAGTTTTCAACGCTTACCGATCAACGTTCACTCCTCACACTCGGTTTTCTAGTTCACTGAAAACTTCACAACACACTCGGTTTTCTAGCTCACCGAAAACCTTACAACACTCATAATGTAATAACAAATATGTTCTCCTCAATAGATGAGAACTCAATGTAGCTCACTCTAAATTGTTACAACTCCCCACAACCTAATTATACAATGTATGTAAATACAATAAGCTCAATGGTTGTGTGTGTAAGCAATAAAAAAATAAAATCAAATATAAACTCAATACAAATACTAGCTTATGGAAATGGAAATCAAACGTATAAATAGCTAGATATGAGTTTAGAGATTCTTCTCTGAATAACAAAATGGAGAGATGAAGATTGAAACCCAAACAATAAGATGATCTCCTCCACTTAAGAAAACTTCTTCGCAAACAAAACAGACACTAAACACACTTAAACCCTTGTTAAAACTTTGTTAAAACATTTCTTGGATTGCTAAGAGAACTGAGACCAATGGGGTATTTATAGCCTCCTAAAACCTCAGCCAAAACCTCCAAACAAAAGACTAAAAAGCCCACAGAATCAGAAATCAGAATCTGTACAAAAATAGTCATTGGAGTGAACGACAGTCGATCGTGAAAATCTCGCGGTCGACCGCGAGCCACTTTCGAAGCTGAGAATTTTCCAGAGACTTTGGCGGTCTACCGTGACGGTCAACCGTGGGAAAATTCGAGCTGATGTTCGACCGTGGCGGTCGACCATGAAAATTTCTGTTTGACTCTGCAGGTAAAAATTCAGGTGCGGTCGATCGTGGCGGTCAACCGCAAACTGATACATGAACAGAACAGTTTGAAAGTTGATTTTATGATTTTAAAACCATGTTTAAAAATATCAAATAAATTTCAAAAATTATAAAACTTTGGGAAATGATTATAGACATAATAATACACATGCTACAAAAATTGGTTTTCTAAAAGGACTTCCCAAATGAGAAATATCATCATTTTGTAAAATAGTCCAAAACATGAAAATGTAAACATATGAATTTTGACATTTTGGCTAAACCATGTTTTGAAACTTGACAAAATGATTTTGTAGACTTGAAAAAAGATGTATATGATTGTTATTAAGTCCATAAACTGAGAATATAATATTTTCACAAATACAATAGAAAATAAAACATATGAGTATGTATATGAAAATATATTTGTTTCATATCTAAGTAGTTAAACCAAATTACAATAATAAATATGAAATATGTAATTTCATATTTATAAACATGAAAACCAAAACTTGTGTTGTATATATATATGACTACATATATATACAAGGAAACCAATAAAATGTGTGTGTATATGATATTGAGCTTAACGTACTAACACACATAATATAAAACCTAAACTAAATTAGCTACTAGTTGTGCAAATAAATTTTGTAAGTTATGAGATTTTCTATTTTATAATTTCTGGAGAAGAGGCTAAACTTGGAGGTTGAACTATTACTCTATAACTTAATATTATTCATAACATACTTAAATCAAAGTTGAGTTTATATACATATTAATTAGGATAGGATAATTGAAGCTTGTACCTATTATTAATTAAAATTAATTATGATGGGATATATGATAATAATGTAATATTTAAAAAGGTCAAGGATATTTCTATCCGTAAAAAGTTTTTTCTAAACTTCAATTTTTAAAAGGAATATGATATGATGTGATATGATTCTTAAGGTAATAATATGTATCAAGGTAAAATTAACTCTTTTGTTAAAAGTGAGGACCATAGAGCTCGGGACTTGTGGATGCATTATATCAGTCATGTATGGTATCCTAAGCTGAAATCTTAATACATACCCTTCCTTAATTCAATGTTTAAAAGACATGATGTTATATATGCTGATTGTTGGCTACACGCCCGTATACCTAGCACGAGTCATTTTATAAAAAACTAATAATGGTCTTTTCCAAGTTTTCTTAACCTATATAGGAGTATAAACGAACTAAATGTATTTGTAATTAAAGGTATCATACTAACCTTAATTCAAATTCTTTATTGCTTAGTGTATGTATATTTTCACTTCTTTGAATTCTATTGATGATGTCTAGTTACAAGCAAGAGTTTTTCGACTTGAGAAAATTTTTACTTCAAAAGAATATTTAAAGAAACTTTAGGGTATGAAGTTGTCCATGCCATTTGCTCTAGGGTCTGGATGAAAAGCTCCGACTTCTTTAGGCGTCTTGAAATGGGCCAAAATTATGAAAGTGGGCCAAAAGTGGAAATGTGTCGCCCAACTAGGCTAAAGTTGGTCATGCTCACGCCCATATGACCCGCCCTGTA